GACTCGAAAAAAAGTGTGGACTTTCATTAATAATGTATCACTACTGTAACCATCATTAGTTATGAATTAAACATGTTAACAGGGAAACCTGACTTGGAGTATACAAGCCACTCTTCATACTATCTTTACTATCTTTGCAACTTTTCTGTAGATCTGACAACACTCTAAAATAAAATAGCTTAATTTATTATTAAGGTTATGTAGGGGTTCTTCCATTTTCTGCACTAAAATGTCACCCCTGTGCATTTATTTTATTTTTGACTTGGGGTCTCACTTTTTTGTCCAGGCTGGAGTGCAGTGGCATGATTAAGGCTCACTGCAGCCTCAACCTCTTGGGCTCAGGTGATCCTTCTGTCTCAGTCTCCCAAGTAGCTGGGACTACAGGTGCACACCACCACGCCTGGCTAACTTTTTAATTTTAATTTTTGTAGAGACAAGGTCTCGCTGTTGCCCAGGCTGGTCTCGCACTCCTGGGCTCAAGCAGTCCTCCTTCCTCAGCTTCCCAAAGTGCTATGATTACAGGTGTGAGCCACGGTGTCCGGCCTTCCTTTGTCTTTAGGTAATGTCTCTGGCGGCCCTCTGGGCGGTTCTGCTTTGGTCTGGCCTTGACACTTGGTGACTGGGCAGAGCTGTCTCACGGTCTAAGTTGGCTCCTCCCACCTGACTTGCCTTGTGCTTGAAATCCTGGAGCCTTTTCTTTTTTCTTGTTTTGTTTTTTTGAGTTGGAGTCTCACTCTGTCGCCCAGGCTGGAGTGCAGTGGCACACTCCCGGCCACCGCAGCCTCGACCTGCTGGGCTCCAGCGATCCTTTCGCCTCAGGCTTCCAAGGAGCCTGAACTACAGGTGTACATGCCGCCATGCCCGGCTCATTTTTGATTTATTGTAGAGACAAGGTCTCGCCAAGATGCCCGGGTGGGTCTCGAACCCATGGGCTCAGGCAATCCACTCGCCTCGGCCTCCCAAAGTGCTGGGATTACAGGCTGAGTCACCGAGCCCGGCCAGGAGTCTATCTTCTTACTTGAAGGCCTATGGGAAAACTCAGGTGTCCTTTGGGCCAGGGTATTCGTTAAAGTGTCTGGAATAGCACATCTGGATTAGGGACCCATTCTGGCAGCAAGAGGGATCCTCATTTTGTCAACAAGTATTTATTGTGCACCTGTGGTGGCCCAAGCGGTATCCTGGGTGTCAAGGGTAAAGCAGGGGAGAAAAAGCATTCCTCTTTCCTTGGAGTCTGCATTATAGTGGGAGGGACAAATGAGCAAGTAACTGCCAAGAGGTGAGAAGTACTGAGAGAGAGAGAGAGAAAAAAAAGGCTGGGCATGGTGGCTTATGTCTATAATCCCAACACTTTGGGAGGCCAAGGCAGGAGAAGCGTTTGAGACCAGGAGTTCAAGACCAGCCTGGGCAACACAGCGAGGCCCCCACCTCTACAAAACATTAAAAAATCAGCCAGGCATGGTGGCTCATGCCTGTAGTTCCAGCTACTTGGGAGGCTGAGACGGGAGGATTGCTTGAGCCCGGCAGTTCAAGGTTGCGGTAAGCTATGATTGTGCCTCAGCACTCCGTCCTGGGCAAGAGAGCCAGAACTTGTCTTTAAAATGAATAATGGCTGGGCTCGGTGGCTCAGTCTGTAATCCCAGCACTTTGGGAGTCTGAGGTGAGTGGATTGCCTGAGCCTGCGGGTTCGAGACCCGCCTGGGCAGCGAGACCTCATCTCTACAATAAATCAAAAAATCAGCCGGGCGTGGTAGCGCATGCCTGTAATTCCGGCTACTCGGAAGGCTGAGGCGGAAGGATCGCGAA